TGGTGTAATGTGCACACCAATAAACAACATTTTTATATGAACAATATTAACCTGTGTATTTAGAGAAGGTTTGAGAAGGAACTTGTTTGCAAAGCTAATATTGGTCAGAAGATTTTCTATTTTTGAAGTCCTGCTTTAAATGCTTATTCTTAAAATTTCACTTGTTTCTCTATCAGGATTTAATATAAAAATTTTAGTATAATATTAAAAATGTTTTCATAAAATTTTTGCCGTATAAAAAACGTTTTGCACTTCCTTTGTTCTCGTTTAGGATATGTAAATAGTCTACAAACTCAAGTGCCTTAAAGCAAATTGCTGGAACTTCTATACCACAAAATTTAAATTTTGTTCAAAGTTTTGTATTTTTTTTCTAAGCGATTATTGTACTGCGCATCAGTTTCATAGCGCGTAAGCGCCGCGTCGCAGTCTAATAATTAAACGTTATAAATCTATAGAATCAACAAAAAAGTAAACATATTTTGTAACTGTTATGAAATATCTTTATAAAATATCTGGTAAATATTTTTTTCTAAACTATTTTTAATGGATTTCCGAAATCGCTAGGCTTGCTTTACCAAAAATATAATCAATTTTTCATTCCGTCAGTATAAGTGAAATATTTTTTGAATCATTCAAATCGGACGTTCCGTTCTCTCAAAAACTAATCAGCAAGTCTCCTCATCAATAGGAATCGAATGTTTTTGAAGCTTTCAAATCGGTTAATCAGTGCTCTCAAAATCGTCGACGAAAGTTTATATCTGCACATACATCCATACATACTATAGACACACACACATAGACGCATACATTCATTTTTCCTAATGTTTAAAAGGCTTTGAAATTAAAGGTATTTAAACATTTTCATTTTCGATTCTTTTGCGATTACTATAACTTACCCTTCGAAAAGTTAATAATGAAAACAATATTTTTAAAAAGTAACTATATAGAAATGGATTAAAAGCAATTATACACAATTAATCATTCCAATTAATATTTAATAGCCTTTAGATTCATAAATTTGCCGTGAAAGGTTTAAACACCGGCTTTCGGGAAAAATACTAGAAATTGACGCATTTTGTTCAAATCGAATTAAAACCGAGAAATTCTATAAGATAGCATATTGATAATATAACAGATTATCCTCTGTTATATTATCTCCCACATTATGATTTGTTTGATGATATCCCTCCATCAATATATGAATGAATTAATAACATTCCAACTGTTCCATTGCATTCAGAACTACAAAGAAAAAACAAACAACATTTCTATTTTGATGTGTGGACGAATTCAACCTATATCATTATATTTAATTATTAATAAAATATTTCAATAAAGGTATATTTAATAACACCCAGCACACGCCAATCCAACATATTTTTTTGTATCAAAATTCTGGCAAATGCCAATCAGTGAAAGTAAAATTAATAAAACACATAATACGTCAAATTTTTAAATTGAACATCCACCACAAAAAGATAATCGATTCCACTCACGCAATGGTACTCATTGACTTAATATTTCTACTATTTCGATGTGTGGTTGGTTAAAAATTTATTTCAATAATTGGATATTCCGAAAAGTTTCTTCTTTTAACATCTTTTTTTGGTCGATTCTTTTGCAGTTCCAGATGAAGGTAAACCAATCATTTACAAACACAGTTTTTAATACCATACCGTATAATTAAAGAGAATCAGGTAACATATCGTGACCTGTCAATCGAAATTGGCGGTCAACTGCTAAATGGGTAAATGTGCGATATTGAGGAATCCCGATTATCTTAAAAAAAACTTTTTTTATTTTTTTTTATTTCGTGGAATAATACACTTACTTATTAAGTGATCGTACCTACGAAGACTTGAAGAAACACTATTTCTGTGCGTCATATTACGTGATGGATTGTCGTGTGGCTTAAGCCAAAAAATATTTATTTAAAATTGATATATTATTGACAAAAAACCACAAAATATCACGTGAGGGAGTGAGGGGTATAGTATGATATTACGTGTATTTATTTTTTGCCTGAATTTTTTTAAAAAATCCAAACATTTTCAAAAAAATTCAAAATTTTTACCATTTTTTCCGTAACTAAAATTACACGTGAAGTTTGGTGGGGGAGGGGAGTTAATTTTGAATATCACCACGTATCATCATGGGGGAGGGGGGAATCAAAAGTCTTCAAGAAGTCGATCACGTGATTAATGAACGGCTCCTTTTTACGTAAGAAAGATTTAAGCAGGACAGAGCGGAGCTTAAAGGTCCGCGGGTAAAAAGGGTTCACCACCGATATCTCAAAAAGAAGTAATGTTAAGAATTTTTTAACAACATTTTTTGAAAATAGAGAAAAAAAGATGTATAACCAGCTTTCAATGATATAATAATTTGGTTACAACTTATATTTATTTATCACTATATTAATATATTATATTTGCGCGATATTTTGATGGTAAAATGATTGCTTATATTATATAGAATATTTAAAAGTATTGTAAACTATTAGCGTAATCGATTTCAAAAATTATACAGAAATTGTAGACATTTAGCTAGTTCTTTACTAATTATATCTCTAGCAAAGTTACATACAAGTTTCTGGAATAATTAAGTTTGTATATAATCAATCTGTCTGATACCCGATCGCTTAACAATCGAGCCAATCGAATGGCATTGTAATTTAGCTGCATTCAATACCGATTATACACCTATATCGAAAATTATCTTCTTTAGTAGTTTTTTTTATTTAATCAAGTAATTTAGATTCCAATTAGGACAGAAAACTATAATATGGCAAACTAGCCACGAAGAGAGAGAGAGAGCTTTAATGCATTTGTTAAGTTGCTGAAATCGAGAAAAATACACTTGTGAAAATAGACGATTCTTGATATAAAAAAGCGCATTATTAACTTCCCGTACGGTAAGTTATAGTAATCGACCAAAAATCGAAAATGAAAATTTGGATTTGGATGATTCAATCATCCGATTTGGATGATTTAAAAAACCTTTGGCTTGTATTGTCGAAACGATAATATAATATTTCGGAATTCATTTAATATTGAGGAAAGCAATTTGTTTTTTAAATTTTTGAAAATATCGAAAAACATTTGGATTTTGATTATAATTTTAGCTAAAATTCTAAAGCTCGCTTATATACTTGAAATAAATAATTCTTAGAAATATAAAATAAGATCCTTCATTTTTTATTCCGCTTGATTAAGTTTTGTTCATTCACTTTTCGTGTAAGCTTATATAAACATCATCGTCATTTACACGTATAAGCTCTAATATTTTGTGATATTGATATTGCTATCATTATCAATAAAAATAAATGTTAAAAAATTCAAAATAACGCTTCTAATGAACTAGAGATTACAATAAAAGGCTAGAATTCTCAGTAGTTTAACTCATTGTCAGTGATAAATCTTGAAGCAAAAGCAAACACAACATGTCGTCCATAGACGACATCCGTACACACAGCACATCATGTAGGTGTCGTCCATTAAATTAAATAAATCCATTAAATTAAATTAAATTAATCGCCTCTCCAACAAATTTCAAAAAATTAGATCGAAATTTTCAAAATACTTTAAAAAAATATATACATATCAAATTTAAGTAATAAACGTACGCACTGTTGCCTCAATTGTTAATACAACTCTGAATTCAAAACCATTTTATTTATACATGTACGAGTATAATTTACAAATGAGAATATCAAATTAGCTAGTAATCAATTTTTATGCATAAAACATATGGGTCATTCTTTTACAAACCGGACACTAATTAACCTTGACATTTTAGAATTGTCTGAAAATTTGTTTACAGATACTATTGATAAAATCATTTGACACGTATTTCAGGATTTTGCTGAAAAAAATTTTTTTACGTAAATATTTACGATTGAAATATGGATTTTTTGCTCAATTTCTATGAACATCATCTGCGGTAAATTAATTATCTCCGGATGTGCTGATCCGATCAGTATTATTTTTTTTTATTACACTCAT